ATGGGTTGACGACCAGGGCCCGCGTATACGTGACTGGGTTGCCGCTGGGAAATTTGAGATTGCAAGAGCCTTGGCACCTCGTTGGGCGTCATCCATTTTGAGTGGCAGCCCTTATGATGGAGTTTGGGGTTAGGTGTGGCGTTGGGGGGGGGGGGGGGGAGGGTTGGAATGAAAAAATTGCTGGGGCGTTGGTGCAAAGTTACACAGGGTAAGTGGGTATTGCCGCCCGCTTTTGTACTCTTAAAAAAATTGCTCTTGAGGAAATAAATGGGGAGTACATCGGAAATGCGTTAGGGTTAGCGACTTGAAATTTGGCATTGGCTGGCTTCATTCAATTGATGGGTTGAGATCGGAATCAGCTCCAGATTTTAGATACAGTTAAAAAACACGTGACAGCTTTCGGGTGTAAAGCATTCATTCCTCATCATCTACTTCGTATAGGACCGGAAGGAAAAGAATTTATATTATTATTATTAGTTTGAAGAGGAAATAATCGGCGGGCCCCTACTAAATAAAACCAGTGTGGCCCTATGTTTGACTATATCCGGTTAAGCTAAAGGATTTCTTCATTGCCGAATTTCCTTGCGTATAAGCCTAATGCTCGTACTGTCCAGTAAAGTTTGTAATTAGGATAGGATATCATGCTAGACAACTGTTAGCATTATTTGTCACCCCTCTTTTCTTTTTGAACATAACACAACATACCATGACTGATTGAACACACCCTCGATTCCATTTTGCGACCACTCCCCATTTGCTTCTTGTTTTGTCATAATCAGCTTCATTGCCCTTTTGAGAACATCCTTGTTCGGATAATCTGCTTCCATCAGCGCAAGACATGCCCAAGAAGTCTGGACAACTTGTGATGTTTCGTAGTGCGTGTAGACTTTTTTCTCAGAACTGAGATACGACTCTCCCCAGCCACCGTCGTCCATTTGTCTGTCCACTAAAAATTTGCAGCCGCGGCGAACCCGCTCGCTAGTTTCGTATGTTTCGCCAACATGCGCAAGACTCTCCAGAGCAAACATAGCTGCATATGTAAAACAGACACCCCAGCTACCATACCAGCTCCCGTCAGAGCGCTGTGATCGGCGAATATAGCCCACTGCTTTGGATTTTACTCTCTTGATATCGTCGGCGCGGTAATCTGGGAAAAATTTGCTGAAAAACGACAGAGCGGTAAGGACAGCGGTCGTACATTCGGGATAATCGTATCCTATCATGATGCCACCGAATACTTCTGCGGCATTGAGCCACTCAAGGTACTGGGATCCTCGAGTTGTCTCGTATTCTGTGAAACCCCCGGTCTTGTTCTGCATGGAAATAAGGGTATCCACGGCATCCTTCAGTCTCGCATCGGAAATCAACGGGGGGAAACCATGGACTTTCTGCAGCTGGAGTGCAGCACGAAGGCCTTCTGCAGTACAGTCGCTTACAGTGTATCCCTGTGTTTTGTTACTGAAGGGCCACGCACCCTTAGTCCGATGGCGGTAGCAGCGGTCTTGTTGAGCAACATTTTCTGTCATTTGATGATCCTCCAAAAATTCTAATGCTTTGAGGAGCATGGGACGCCATTCGGGAGCATCCGCAAAGCCCGCGACATCGATCGCCTGGACGATGAATGCTGTATCCCAGACTTGCACTCCATTCGTACCGTTCATGAGCATACCTTCGTTTTTCATCCACATGTAGTCGTGCAACCGGTCAAGATGTCGACGGAAGGTATAACTCCCGGGTCCGTCATGTATATAACAACAGAGGGTGTTCATTGGTGCGTTCACGGGTCCTAGGCCGGCATAATCCGTGTTTCGATCTTCCATTGTAATCAACTCCCACACCCAATCCTCTGCGCGCTTGACCAAGGAGGGCCATCGGATTATACTCCAGACGTTTGCTAGCATCCAGAAAAGCACGTTTAGGAGCCAATGCTTTGGGTAATAGTTATCGGCATCAGCTATAGCACCACGATAAGAATGAAAATTAATGGATGCATATGGTTGAGTGTAAATTTCCTCTCTCAGTTGTCGAGTGAAATCGTCCACTGGGTGGCTTAACTTCTTTGAATACACATAGGTCATGGGAAGGAATACTTGACGCATATGGATCCACCATCTCCATGGCGCGAATGGAACCCAGTCCGGAAGCAACCTGGCATGGGAGAAATTAGAGTTCAAGCGAATCAGCAGTTGGGGGCTTAATGGTGGCACACAAACCAGAGTTCTGGTGGAACGGGATTAACAGCCTCCCATTCCATGACTCCCAAGACACTAAGCCAAAATTTTGCCCAATGAGGAGCGTACAAGGCACCACCTAGCTTATGTAGCATGCCACGGGCCTTAATCATCCTGGGGTCTTCCGGGCTGGCACCCAGGATTCGAAGTGCAGTGTAGTTCATACAGGTGCCAAATACCGAACTGTGAGCCTCGATATGTAGACCCCAACCACCATCTTCCGGGTGTTGCCGTGCGAATAAGTATCGCTTGATTTCGACTGCGTACTCAGGAAGAATCGGAGTGTTCGTAACATACCAGGTGACGATCAAGCCTGGCAGAAGAAACATGGGCCCTCCGTACTCGCAACCCCAATTTCCAGGCTCGAGTTGAAGTTTTGAAAGGAAAGAAAGGCCATTGGATGCAGCGTCCAGCGGCCTTTTCGCTGGAGGTAGGTCAGGAAGGCTCTATGATAATTAAAAATCTATTAATATATGATGATGGACGGGGGAGGGGAATGAATTTTTGACGAACGGTGGGGAGCTCAAGAAAAGTACTTTATCCGCTAAAGTCTGGTGGACACGCCCCTCCATTCCTCGTCA